TGGAGCCGGTGCGGGGCGCCGCGTGCTGCAGAGCCTGGGGGTGGGGGCGGGAGCCTCCGCCCTTGGCCCCCCTCGGCCTGCGGCCCCTGGCGGGCTGTTCACCTCTGACCACCGAGGACAGACGCGGGAGATGCAGGAGATGTGGGGCCCCAGGAGACAGTCCTAGCCGCCCCCTTGGGTGCCCGCAGTTCTGGTCAGGGCTGGGCAGGCCCGCGTGGGCAGGTCACAGGCCACACGCCTCGGCGGGCCCTGACGCGGGGAGTGCAGCAGGACCAGCCGTGGCTCTGCGGAGGGAGGAAGCAGGCAGCGGGCGGCCGGGCCCAGGGCTGGCCCTCAGCGGGGAGGCAGGCTGGTGGCCGTCAGCTCTGGCCGCCGGGGACCCCGGCCTCGCTATCGCTGCTCTGGGACAGCTCTGAGGGGCTCTCCGGGCGGCGCAGCTCCAGGAAGCTCTCGATGAGCCTGGCGATGGCGTCCACGTCACTGGCCGGCGGCACCGGGAGGGAGGGTGGTCACCTTGGTGGTCGCCTCCGCGGCACGGGGCTCGCAGCTGGGGCCCCGCACTGCCCGCCTGGCCTCCGCCTCACCAGGGAGGCCGGCACCCCGAGCCGTCGCCCAGCTCACCTGCGGCGGCCCAGGACCGCGCTCTGGGTCAGGGGGTGCGAGAAGCCGGTCACGGAGCGCAGCACGGCCACGTGGCCCTTCCCGAAGTAGCGGACCGTCTCCTCCTCCACGCTCACGTCCCGGATGTCGTTCAGCATGACCACCACTGTGGGCGGCCAGTCAGTGGCCGAAGGCCCAACTGCCACCCCTGCCGGCCCTGACCAACCTCAACTCTGACTCCAGCACGGGGTCAGGCTGCTGCTGGGCAACACCCCCTTGGGCTGAGAGTTACTGGGGCGCTCCAGGCCCAGCCGCCCGGCCAGCCCCGCGTCTCACCCTGCTCGTGGCCGGCCCTGGACAGGGTCAGAAGCTTCTTGTACAGGCTGAAGGTCTTCAGGGTGACCTTCCCGGTGCTCTTGTTGAAGACGGCCTCCTGCAAAGCAGCAGAGGCACTGGCCGAGGCCCACAGCAGCCCCGGGAAGGGCGTCCAGCCTTCCGCCCACTCGGAACCCTGAAGCCAAGCCGGGCCCGCCTGCCCTCTCGCGCTGTGGGGCTGGGGTGGAGAGAAAGCAGGGGCTTCGTGCTCGCACCCGGGGCTGGGGGCGCAGGCCCGAGGGCAGGCGCTGCGCACCAGCACCCGCGGGGGGCGGGGGGGGCCTCACCTCCCAGTCCTCCAGGTTCTGCACCGCCACGAACAGGCAGCCTGTGACGTAGAAGAGCTTCCAGCCCAGACTGTCTGGGGGCAGACACGGGAGTCGGGGGGCGGCCCTGGCCCCCCACCCGCCCAGCGGGGAGGCCAGCCCGCAGACCCCCCAGTGCTGCTCATCAGCCGGGAGGCGGGGGGGGGCAGCCCCTCACCTCCACTGTAGTAGGCGGCGGCCAGGCCGATGGACAGGATCCCTGCAGAGAGGACGCAGGGTGTCTCTCCCGCAGCCACCACGGCCTTCCTCTGGGGCGGCGGTGGCAGGAGGAGACAGGTCCCCGCAGACCCGGGGCTGCGCCCCCAAAGACTGCTGGGGAGGGGTTCGAGAGAAGACTGGGGGGGAGCTCAGTGCTCACACTGCCCAGCAGCCCCCGACCCCCAGGGCAGCGGAGCACGGGAGGCGCGAGGCTCGGCCTTGGGGTGGCGGGACAGGGGAAGGGGCGGGAGGCTCCCAAGTTTGGTTCGGGGCCCCGCGGACGAGCTTACCGACCAGCAGAGACCAGGACCTGGCGCCCGGGGCCCTCTTCAGGTGCAGAACGGCGCCGGAGCGCGTGTCCACCTGCATGTACATCCCTGGGCGGCGCGTCCGGGGCGGGCTGCGGAGGACAGACAGCTGCCGCCGAGGCCGC